TATCTATCTATCTATCTATCTATCTATCTATCTATCTATTCGTTTGTCTGTCTGTCGACTGGGGCGTACAAACCACCAACATTTTAAAAAAAGCTCCATAACTTCATCTCAGTTCGATTTTCGGTTTACACTGTTTTTGCTAGTTGAGTGGGAAATCGATCAGAAACACTCTCCAAAAAAAAAATTGATTTAAAGATTTTTAAAATAAAAAATAAAAAATAAAATGAAATGAAATAAGAAAATCTTTTAAAAACACCAGCCAAACAGAAGTAATAGATCTATACATATATCGAATCTGCTAGTCATAATTTATGAATAATTATTTATTTTTCTTAACTTTTCAGTTTCGGGGCCTTGCCCGTTGCTTGTTTTCTCCTAAGAATTTCACATGGTCATTAATTGCAGCAGCTGTCAATATTGCGGGGAGTTTGGTTTTTTCTTGGGAGGGGGGGGTGGTTAAAATCAATCTGACCTACATGTGTTTCCCATACATGTATTATGTATGCTCACAATAAAGCGTTAAGCACAGTTCGTTTTCTTGTGGTCACGTATGCTATACTGTTCATGCCTCTATGACTATCTCTGCGAGTACAGAACTAATTTTAGAGGTGGGCGAAGAATTGATCCCAGAACCGATTCCCGCGATTAGTGCTACGGAAGAAATGTCTCGATTCATTTTGGCGTTAAACACCGGTTACCAAACTTTATTCATTAAAATCTTCTCTTATAAAGTATTTATTTTTGGAAAATAAAAAGATAGTGCTTCGCAGTGTTTCCGAAATCAAGGCTATCCTAAATCCTGAAGATTTTCGAAGCCAAACAGGTAACCTTAGAAAGAAATCATGCTATGAGAAGGTAATTGGGTTCGGAGTCGAGTCTTACGATTCCTGTAGCTTTCAATAATCGGGAACCTAAGCGCCCAGCACTGCTTGATATCTCTATATTTTAAAAAAAAAAAAGTTTTAAAATTCCTCTTTCGGTGAGAGATTTGTCTGGGTCGATTTCAGTCCCACCACACTTTTGACCATACTTTTTAAAGTTGTAATGTTGAAAGTTTGGAATGAAATGTACACGTCCATCGATTTCCATTCCACCACACTTTTAAAGATTTTTAAAGATGTAAAATTGAAACTACACATTGTATTTTACACTCCCAAGGACACAATTTAGGTCATTTCGCTGGCGGGCTGCCTCGAGCCCTGCCTATCAGGGCCAACAGGGACCGAGAAGGATACATTAATGTCCCAGCAGACAGATGCTTGATAGATAGGTAGATAAATAGATACATTAACGAATGAGTTAATAAATAGATTAATAAATGAATAAATGATTAAGTACAAATATAAATATAATATAAATAAGCA